CGTCGGCCGCAAGAGTGCGAGCGCTGACGCCCCAAGACGGCCCCAAGAGAGAGCCAATATCTGGCCCAAGAGGGCCTCCAGAGGGACCCTCGACGGCCCGAGGCGTCCCCACGACGGGTACAAGAGACCCCCAGACGGCCAAGAGGGTCCTGGAACACTTTCGAGCCGTCTCCGAGAGGGCCCAAGAGGGCCCCAGGACGGCCAAAAGTGGCTCAAGGGGCCCCCAAGGCTGACCCACAGGAGCTCAAGAAAGGAAGGACGAAAGGGAGGAAGACGACGAAAACGAGAAGAGACCCCCCGACACGACGCGGATGAGCGTGTATGACTGTGTCAGATGTGGCGGCTCTCCCAAGTCTCGGGACCCGGGAAGTCAGACGCTACGGCCTCCTGTGTGCCCCCCAAGTGGTCGCCACCCAAGGTGCTGGGCTGGCGCCTGGGCACCCGTCTGCCTCTCAAGCCACCTCCTGAAGGCACGAACGGTCCTGCAGCAAGTTCCCGGGGCCCCTGATTGTGCCGAGTGCCCTGGAGATTGGCCAGGCCAGACCAGCCACAGTTCCACCCAATTGCTCCGCCTTTCGCAGACCTAGCGTAGGTCTTGGATGACATGATTTTCGGGTAGATCCAGGACGGCCTTCCAGTCTCTGCCCCTTGCTCCTGGGAGCACTTGGCTACGAGGCTGCAGGCGCTGGATACGACGAGGATTGGGATTAGGATGGGCGAGGGAGCAGGGGGAAGGAGAAGGGAGGATAAGGAAAAGGTTGCGGAGGAGGACGACTTGAAGGTTAGAAGAAGGAGGATCAAGCGGTGGAGGAGGACGTTGACGTCGGCGACGGCAACGACCTCCGCGCTGCAGCTGGGGCCGTCAATGCATTTTCCGACTCCGTCTGGACGCAGCATCGAAGGTCGGCGAAGGGCCGCCGAAGGGGCCGCCGAAGCGGCCCCTCGGCGACCGTCGATGCCGTGTGCAAGCGGGGGCCAGGCAAAACTATCTGATGCCCGTGGCAACGCTGCCAAGGCTGTCGCCGTCGTCGTCGTTGTCGTCGCCGCCGCCGTGTCTTTCACTCAAAATCGGGCCCCGGAACTGTCCAGGGGTGCACTGCGACGAGAACCTCGAGGCGACCCCGGCTGCGGCGACGAGCCCCCCCCCCCCTCCAAGAGGCGCAAAACGTCGGAAGCACAGTAGAAAGCCGTCGTCTCCAAAACCACAGGAAGACGTCCAAAAATCCGATCGTCGATCTGTGGAAAGGGGGGAGGGGACAAAAAGCTGGATTAACCCGCCCAAGGGTCCGTAGCATACACGTGATGAAGCCAATACCTGAGCCGAGATGCCGACAGGTGAACGAAGGAGAAGGACAAATATGGCACACACACACACCTTTCGGCGTCGCGGCCACGCGCGCAACGACGCGGCGGAGGCAATTGGAGAGTCCGAGAGGCGCCCGAAACGCCGCTGGGAGATGCACTTACAACCACAAACACACATGCAAACACACACAAACACACACAAACACGCACACAAACACAAACACACACAAAGACACAAGCACACACAAACACACACACAAGCACACACAGCACACAGAAGCACACACACAAACACACACAACCACAGAAGCACAACCACAAACACACATACACGCACACACAACCGCACACACACACACACGCACACAAACCAGCTCGCTCGGTGGCTTTCCGATCCACCGAAGCACGGGTCGAAGGCAAGAATCGGACGATGAGCCTCATGCAGTGTCGCCTGTGCGCGAGCTCGACCCGATATTCCGAGCTATGATCGATCCAGTTTGTGTTGCATCGTACACTTTGGGAAGGTTGGATCTTTACTAGTATCATGGCTTGTATCATGGATTGGACCACTCAGCATGTTTCAGCTTGGGCCCAAGTGCGTGGGCCCATCAATGCAGCTTTCACGTCTCTGCTGCGCGTGTGATGGGCAGCCACGAGCCTTACCACATGGGACCAACGCCAGCAGTGGTGATAAGTGAACGCCGTCGGACTTCCCGCCCTGGTGCACTAAGCAGGTGTTCAAGAGGCCCGTGCTGTTCTGGCAGTTCCAGAACGTGGCCGATGGAGTACACCCTGCGAAATGCTTAAGAAATCATGGGTTAAGAAATTCATAGTCTCAGAACTTGAATAAAAAACCCCACATTTCTATTAAAATCTTAGGATTTTCATTGAAACGTTAATAATAATCGAGACTCTGGCCGAAAACTTTGGTGTTCTTAAGCATCGCCTAAGGTGTACCCCACCTCGGCAATGGCTTGGATATCATGCAGCTGCGCAGGTGCATCCACCGTGGGCGGCCCGCTGCTGGTGTGGAGCGCGATCGGCCCAGCCTTGGGCAAGACGAGAGACAGTGCGCGAGATCGCTCATTGCTGGGGGCCAGTGGCTAAACTACAGGAGGTCTCACAACAGCCCGCAACATGCTCGGACTCGTCATTGCAAGCTCTGCCCTGGTAAGGACGGCACGCCGTGGCATCGCCATGTGGAGCGTGCTGCGCGTTGGCCGCATTCGTTCCTTCCCGCGGCCGTCGAGGCTCTCAAACGACAGGCCGACCATCCCGATAGCATCACGCGGGTGGAAAAGAGCTGCTCCTTGAGCGGCCTCGCGTGGTGTGGACGGCGCCCCAGGACGAGCTGCTGTCCGCGGTGAGGTGGCTGAAGGGCCACGGCGGGGTGCCCTTCCACGACGTTGAGCTGTTCAGCGACGGCTCGGCCTTCGACCTTGACATCGACTACGACATGGCGGGGTGCGCGGTCGTACAGATCCCGCTCGGGCCCGACAGGTATGATCCACGCCCTAGCTGCACGCTGAGTGCCATCGGCTCGCCGCCCACGGGGCTGCGCCAGTCCATCGAGGCAGCAGAGTAGCTGGCCGTCCTCATTCAGCTGCGACACAGCCTGGCGCAAGTCACGGTGCAGGTGGATGCGAGTTATGTCCTTGATGGGCTTCGCAAGCGAGGACGCGCAACTACGTGTGCACCAAACCAGTCTCGGGCTTTTCTTTGGAGGCTGGCATAGGATGCGATTGAGGACTTTGGAGGACTGGGCGATGGAGGCATCGCAGTCCTTAAAGTCGAAGGTCATGGGATCGACCGTGACGTTGGGCAGGACAGACTCACGACATGGGGGAGAAGAAAGAATCTCGAGGCCGATGACTGGGAGAAAATGGTCACCAAACCGTATGCATTGGCCGATCTCGATCGTGAACGAACCCGACGCTCTCATCTGATGGTCGATGGTGTTGTCGCGTGGGTGTCGCGTGCGGGTGCTCCTGCAGCCGCTGCGCGAGACGACATCGACACGGACGTGATGATCAAGAAGCCCCCGGAGGACATCGCCAGTCTGACGGGGCATGCTTTCAAGGTCGAGGCCGACTGCTGATGGTGCGCCGAGTGTGGACGGCGCGCAGCTACCACGGGGTCCAAGAGAACGCTCTTCAGCAGGCCGTGCGTGCCGCGACCGACCTCTTGGGTCAAGAGGCCAATTGCAGCGGCAAGTCTCGGCTCGGAGCCGCCGTCATCATGGCTACATCTGCTGCCGCCGATTCGACGGCATCGCAGGCCGTCGACGATATGGGCACCTAGAGCAGCCCCACGGCGTCGAGCAGTGTGAGCCGCCCCGCTGCTGGTGCTACATCGGCGCCTTCGTCGAGCAGCGGGGGCAAGCAGACAGCCGAGGCGGCAGCAGCATCCGCTGGGCCGCAGGGCCGCGACTTTCGCAGTGAATGTGGGCATCGTACTTGCATGCGGTGCTGCTACTTTGTGTCCCGGAGCGACAGGGGCAGCTACGGGAGCTTGGCAAAGACTGCGTCGGGCCTCTCATCAAAAGTGGCAATGCTGGACGGGTCCGTAAGCAGAGGCGTGCCCTGATCCTGAGCGGGACGGGTCCTAAGACCAATACATAATCATCTGAAGGTTGGGTGACGGTGCTGCTTCTTGTCAAGTGACTCCGATGGGAGACGCATGCGCCGTGTCTTGCCTTGAACGTTGATCATGTGAGCGTTTCTCGTGTGATTGCGGACTTCTGTTGCATTTTAGTTTTCCGTCACGCTTTGCGTGAGCAGCCTGCTCCTGCGTGACGGTCCTCTGATACGCCTGTGTGTGGGGTCTCTATTTCTCGTCCCCATCGCGCGTGTTTCGTATCTGCACGCTTCGCGTGATAGTGGATCAGCATCTCTTCCAATCGCTTTCGCTGTCCGCCGCGCCACTGCTGTGGCTTGTCGGGCCCTTTTGGCCTTTCGGCTGTAGCATTGTATGGTGGCGCGGCCCGATCGGGCCGGGGGGCTTGGTCGGTGCGGTCCATGTGGCTGCTGCACGCACAGCTTGGCTGCGAGTTTATCGCGTGATACAACACATAACGTGCAGACACGCACACGCGCACACACACACGCACACACACAAGCACACACAAGCACACACAAACACACACACAAGCACACACAAATACACGCACACTCGCACACAAGCACAAACACACACAAGCACAAAGAAACACACACACCACACACACACACACTCACACACACAAGCACACAAGCACACAAGCACACACAAACACACACACAAACACGCTCACACATACTTTCCCTCCTCCGGCAAGGTGGCGGCACCATCGCGAGAGCACGAACGGGATGCGGTCAAACGTGCATTGCCAACAAGCGTTGCACACACACGCACACACACGCTCACCCACTTTTGCTCGCATGCGGCCGGGGAAACATCCAGAACGGGCGTCCAAAGGCAGGCGATGCCGAGTCCAAGTGTCGAACCTGCTGACTCACACACACGATCGTTATCGCCGTCGTCGTACGGTCGTCGTCACTGTCGTCGTACGGTCGTCGTCGTACGGTCGTCGTCGTCGTCGTCGTCGTCGTCGTCGTCGTCGTCGTCGTCGTCGTCGTCGTCGTCGTCGTCACCGTCGTCGTCGTCGTCGTCGTCGTCGTCGTCGTCGTCGTCGTCGTCATCCTGCTGGTGGCAGCCTCCTGCCGCCGCGCGCGCCCGCGGCGCGGTCGGCGGCGGGCGTCGCCCGGCACTGCCCAAGCGGGGTGATGCCGGGGCTGCCGCGGGGCTTCTCCCGCCGCAGGCTGCTCTCCTCGGGCCGTCGGCAACTGGGCTGTCTTCCCTAGGGCGACGAGATCTATACATATCCACTGCTCCTGGCCAGGCCCATCCTGGGCCCAGGAGCTGTGTATATGCCTCCCTGGCCAGGCCAGGAGGGCGTATACACCGCTCCTGGGCCCAGGATTGGCCTGGCCAGGAGCAGTGGATATGCATAGATCTCGTCGCCCTATTCCCAGACCCCCTCGGGTCATGAGAAAATCACGACGGGACGTTTTTCGCTGTCTGCAGCCTCCGGAAGGCCTCCCCGGGCCCTGTGGCCGTCGAAAACGCCGACTCTGGGTGTCGACGTCATGAAGAAATCACGGCGTCGGGGATCTGGTTTTGAGAACACCACAACCCCAGCCAGGACCCCCGCTCCCGACCTGGTGATCTCCTCGTCGGCCGTCTTGAGGGCAGCTTGGGGCGTCTTCGGGGCCTCGTGGGACCGTCTAATTAGGGCCCTCTCGGGACCTCCATTAGCCTGTCGTGGCCTGCTTCGGGGCGGGCCCGGGCCGCCTCGGGACCCCTCTGGGCCTTCTCTTGGTGCGCTCTTGGGGCACACTTGGGTTGTCTGGGGAGCATCCTGGGCCGTCTTGGGGCCCTCGTCGGGGCCTCGTGGGCCTTCTTGGAGCGATCTGAAGGGCCTCCGAGGCCCTGAGGGAGCGCTGGAAAGCGGGAAAAGCGAGAACGCCAAAATCCAAAACACTCGGAAAATTAGTGAATCTTGCCTTCCAGGGCCCTCTTGGGGAGCGTCTTGAGTTCGTCCTGGAACGTGTTGGAGTCCTCGTCGGCTGTCTTGAGGGCATCTTGGGCGTCTTCGCGGCCTCGTGGGACCGTCTAGGGCCCTCTCGGGACCTCCATTAGCCTGTCGTGGCCTGCTTCGGGGCGGGCTCGGGCCGCCTCGGGAGCTCTGGACCCCCCCCCCGCAAGCCCCGGTGGGCACCGATGGGGGGAACAGGCAGCGGCCCGCCCCCCCCCCGGGGCTACGCCGAGATAGAGAATCATGTTCCCGGGAAGCTTTCTGGGAGCATGATTTGTTCGGCTCTTTTAAGAGGGGGGCCTTTGGGGGCTTATTGGCCTTGTCGGCAAGCCTATTGGAAACATGGTTGGGGCGGCGGGCGGCAGCCCAAGGAATCATGTTCCCGGAAAGCTGTGGGAAATATGAGTTACCGAAGTGTCTTGGGGGCCCGCAGGGGGCTTCCCTAGGGGCCCCTTGGGGGCCTACTGGGGCTTCCAAGGGGCCTCTCTGGAGCCTCACAAGATTTCTTGGGGGCCTCTCCGTAGCCATTTTGGCTCAAGGTTTTGGTTTCCCAGCGGAAACAAGTGGATACCGCTAGTCCGCGGCCAGTGTTCGTTTCTCCACCGCTCCGCTGCGCGAGCCGCCAGGCCACGCAGTTTCGCCCACTCTGGGCTTTGGTCATCGGCTACTCTCATCACGGCTCCGGACACGACGTCCTACACAAAGGCGCCATGGCTCCTTCTGCTGCTCCTGCTTCCGCAGATTGGAGTTGGACCTGCAGCCCCTGGGTTCGTACTGGCGCCAAGGGCAAACGCTACCCGCACCGCTCTGGAGGCCCCATGTGGAAATGTCTCTCCTGCGGATGCGCGAAGAATCCAGGATCCTTCCAGTGGTGCAAGCACTGTGGGGAATGGAAGCCAAAGGACATCACTCACGCCTTGGACAACGGGAGAGCGGTCGACCCGAGTTCCAAGTGGGCCAAGGGCCCTCCCGCCAGTTTCCCTGAGGTTGACGTTTCTCAGCTCGATCGCTCAGAATTGGTGGCGATGTTGGCTTCATCCACCAAGTGTGGCCAGACACATCCTGCCCATGCGTGCCGGGAGAAGCTGGACGAGCTCGACAAAGGGCCCTCCTCCTCAGCCGTCGCTCGGGACCCGTCTCTCAAAGGCACGCTGGGCCCTCAACAACCAAGATGGCAAGCTCAAGCGGGCCTTGGACGAGTACCACAAGTGGCAACAAGACCTGGAACAGCACTGGGAGCACGTTGTCTCTCTCTAGTCCCACCTGGACGTGCTACAGGCCCAATGCGACAAGCTGGCGGCCTCGGTTCGCTCGGCTACCCCAGCACCTGAACCCAAGCCCACACTCTCCCTCTCGGCGCTTTTGGAAGATAAGCTCGACGGTCTCGTTATCGATTTCGGCGACATCTTCTCCATGGGCGGCGAGGAGGGTCTGGGCGATGACGAACTACGGCAGGCAGAAGAACGACGGGAGGCCCTCGTCAAGGGCCTCCAGGAGGGCGCCAAGAAGCTCTTCGCTGACGCGGCCACCAAGGCCAAAGAGGCCCGAGCCGCCCACCAATAGCAGATGGATCGGCTTGCCTCCAAGCGTCGCCGTGCCGAGGACAGCCATGGCGACGCACAGGCCGCTCCAGGAGGAGTGGCAGCGTCGGGAGCCGCTGCGACTCCAGCGGCCGAGGGGGCGCCGACTCCGCCCTCGGCGCCCCAGGAACCCTCGACATCGGCAGCTATCGAGAAGGAGCTCGCCCGCAGGCGGCAGCAGATGGGATCAAGCTCCTGACCTTCCCCCTGGTGAATCCAGAACTGGTGCTGGTGGCTCCGCTACTGTAACTTACAAGAGTAAGCAGCATCCAGAACAATCTCGAATCTTTCGACCTGGGGCCCTGCGGCCAAGGGCCTCATTGATGAACGACACTATGACGGCATCCTCTAGTGGAGGCTCATGCTGGTGAGGAGCACTCGGATGACCTTCTTCGGCACTGGGGCAAGAATGGCTATAAGGCTATCTGCACACCCGCCAGGCCGACCGAACGTACCAAGCTTTCTGGAGGCGCGGTTGTGGGCATGAAGAAACCCTTCACCACCTCCTCTCTCAGGCACCTTGCCATGAACAGGGCGCAGCAGATCGGCGTGAGAGACCTCACCTCCACCAAGGGGAACGTCGACTTCCACGATTTTGTTCCCATCGTATGGCATATCAACGGCACCTCGATATGCACTGTGGCGGCTTATCTCACTTGCTCCATTGGCATTCGAGGCATCAATCTTCAGAAGCCCGCGGCTCTTGGCAGTTTCATCAAGAGCTTGAACATCCCGTGGGCCATCTTTGCTGATTGGAACGTTCCACCGTCTACGCTGATGCAGTCAGGGTGGCCCGCCATGATTGGGGGGCCCCAGTAGTCCCGACGGACGTGGAACACACGTGCACCATCGGCTCAGGATCCATGTTGGACTACGGGGTTGTCTCACCGCATGCGCGGCTTCTGATATCTAGCCTCACAGCAGACACATCAGTGGTTGTGGCCCGCAATGCAGTAGCTGGCAAAACGCACTATGGACTCGAGATTGACTTCCGAGGTTGAGCGGAATTGGCCCACGCTCGTCTTTATTCTCTGCCGCGGTCGTTCACACCCCAGCCTCTTCCTGGGAGAACGGCAGACCTACTAGCAAAAGATCGCGCAAGGCAGCCACTGCGGCAGAAACGGAGCAGGAGAAGCAGGTCAAGTCGGGGACGGCCCTGACCACCAAACCCACCATCCCAAGGTTGCCGCCGCCCAGGCTCCCCTTTGCTGATTTGGAGGCGGAATCTTCTGATGATGAGCATGTGCAGGACCTGCCCCCCGACCTCATGATGGAAGGCCCTGGAAGCCTGGGGATGGGGGCCCTCTCAGAGGCCGATCGGGTTCCCTCCAACGTGGACGTGGACTATGAAGATGCACCCGCCCCAGGTCCCCTCACAGCAACAACTTTCTCGTGATGAAGTCTGGCGCAACATTGACCTTGCTGGCTCAGATCTTCCCAACCAGCCGACAGATTTCATCCAGCAGTCTCTAGCATTTCAAGTCGCGCAGTTGTCAGCCCTCCAACTTGGAAGATTGCATGGCAACTGGTCATCCGTGGCAGCATGAAGGAGCTGGTTTGTACCTTGCCTACCTCAGCAGCTCTTCCCCTGTCGCCGATGACCAGGAACAAAATGGATGGCCACCCTACACAGAATGAATCATCTTACCCCTGCTCAGCTAAAGCTGCTCAGTATTACTGTCGAGAGCAATGCAGTTCGGGCACAGCGGTTTTCAGCCACAGCCTCACGCCGAGGTATCGACTCATGGATCCCCACCATGACCTCCACCACCTCAGGCAAGCGCTATGGCTTCATCTGCCACCCGCCAGTCACGCTGAATGATATTCGAGTGGATCAAGGGACCATGGCGACTCCCAATGAGATCATGACAGCAAAGCGGGACTGGTGGGAAAACGGCCTGGAGCAACAAACGGTTTCACAAACAAGGAGTGATGGGCGCTTTTGCCAAGGCCCGTCAGAAAGCCTTGGACACAGATTTGGGGCCCATCTCAATTGATCAGATCAGGCATATTCTACAGCGTATTTCTCCTGAGACAACAAAAGGCTGCGAGGCTCTCAACATCAACGATCTCCGACGCAGACCTGATCAAGCTATACAGTCGTTAATTGACATGTACCATGAAGTGGAGAGGTGTGTCTCGTGGCCATGGCAACTCATGGTGGTTGTCATCAGCTTACTGCCGAAGTCGACCGACGACGATCGGGCGATTGGAGTGGCATCACTACTTGTTCGGCTTTGGGGGGCCATCGGGAGCCCGCTGGACCGCGAGTGGTGCGCCCAGGCAGCAGGTCACTGGGATGGGGTTATTGCTGGATCCTCCTCCCCCCGAACGGTTCTGATCAGAAATTGTGGTGATGAAGCTGTCAGGATGTCTCCTCTCGGCGATTTGGTTCACCTGGAAGTTCTTTGGGATCTCAAGGCGTTCTAAGATTCCATGGGCTGGGTGGCACTCATCACCACTGCTGAAGATCGCAATTTCCCTCCGCACACACTGGCGCTGACAATGCAACAATGTTTCGCTCCCAGAATCCTCCAGGAGTCGGGCCACGTTTCTCTTCCTATTCAGCCTCAAAAGGCAATGGTTGCAGGGCCAAGGTCAGCAGTGGATCTCTCGCGTTGCATTCTTTATCGAACACTCGAAAGGCTGTGTGAGGCTCACGCCCCTGTTGCCATCAAGTCTTGGGTAGATGACCTCAACACTCGCGTCGCAGCCCCAACGAAGTCTGCAGTCGACCAGCTCACCAAGGTCGCCACCATCCTGCGGGACGACTGCATAGAGTTGGACCTCATCATCTCGCCGAAGTCGAACATCCTCAGCTCTTCTGTCCTGGCTGGGGCTGCTCTGGAGGCCAACTTGAAGCAATTGGGGCTTACAGTGCCGTGCAAATATCGAGTTGTGGATTTGGGCTTTGACCGAGGCAACATACGACGTGGTCAAGCTAAGCACAAGAAACGAGCTGAGAAGACTCGCTTCATATTTCACAAGATTGACAACCTGGCCATAGGTACCCTGGCGCATCGAAACATAGGATTGCGTCTTGCAATTACTGCCGCCATGCCGTGTGTTTCCTACGCTGGGAAGATGCATGGCACTCCTCCATTGGTTCTACTTCAGTGGCGCCAAGCTCTCGGACGCATCCTACGCAAGGGCTCCAGCCAACGCTCGCTGACCACCCAGCTCCAGTTGGACATGGGCCACTCGGACCCTGCGATCACTACGGCCATGGACGTCATCAACTCGTGGGCGCTCTTCCTGGCCACCTCCGACATCGACAGGCAGCTGATTGAAACGACCTGGGCCGGGGTTTTAGCGGACTTTGTGGCCCGACCACAGAGCACCTGGTCTCACCATGTCTGAGGAATTTGCTCGGCCACAGTCCGCTTGCTACTCAGGTACTCTTGGGGGCCCCCGGGCCCTTGGAGGTGGGTGGGCCCCGACAGTATCGAGTTTTACGCCCCGCCTGAAAAGCGCAAGGTTGGGGTGCTGGATGTTTCGGATTTGAAGCAGGTGTTTTCTCTTTCAATTCAGAGGTCCTTGTGGGCCGCTGCCTCGGAGGAGTATCTGGGGCGTGGTCTCGAACGTGGAATCCCTGACATTGGGCCCCTCCGCGGTTTTCTGAGGGGCCTCGAGCGACAGGGAGACTATGCACTGTTTGGAGTCCACCGGGCCATCGCGACAGGCAATCTGTGGCCTGCTCAGCGGGTCCACGCTTGCTTTCCCGAGGTGGACCCCTTGTGCCCCCGTTGCAAAGAGGCCCCAGAGACCCCGAGACATGCCCGCTGGGAATGCCCGTGCAACAACGTTCTGGGGGGCATAGCTCCAGCCGCTGTCGTGGAGAGAGCGCGGTCGGACTGTGCAGAGCTGCCCTGTTTCTGGCACCGAGGCCTGGTACCAAGATCTTGGGTTGAAATGGGCCCCCCAATGATTCGCCCCCCCCCCCCCCCCCCCTTCTCGACCTCGGCCTTTCCCCCTCGGAGTTGGAGTTTCCCCGTGGCGTAGTGTTTGGAGCTGGCGACGCCAGCGGGGGGGGCCACTCAGCCGACCCTAGACTTAGGCGCATAGGTTGGTCCACCATTATTTCCAGGATGGAAGCCACCTCCAGGCGTGCAAACTGTCCAAGATCAAATCCTGGGGTGGGCCTCTGGAATAAAAACAATCCGTGCACAGAGGAGAGCTCCGAGCTTTCGGAACCTTCCTGAGCGCAAGCCCAGGAGCGCTCGATCCCGCTCTCTCATTTCTTTGCGGACCAAAGAGCTGACGAGTTGGCCGAGGTTTCTGCTGAGGAAGCCCAGCTTCCATACTCGCAGCGTGCTCAGATTGAATTGGTCGATAAGGTCGCGGCGGTGGTCAGGAAACACTTAGCGGTGGTCCTCCTTGACTGCGCCTCCCACCGTGTCCCTCCTCCGCCGCGGCCCAAGGTTGAACGTCCGAAACTTTCTAAGCATGCTCGTGAGGCTTTAAAGCTAAGCCGTTCCCTGAGTAAGACGCAACGCAAGATCCCGAACCCACGCCGCCCATTTTGGCAGTGCTCCTTGTGTGACGGACGCACGGCCAAGAAATTCGCCGTTGAGTTTCTGAATGCGCCGTGCCGTGCTGTTGCTCGCTTTGCGGAGCCGACGTTTTTTTTTTTTTTTTTTTTTTTTTTTTTTTTTTTTTTTTTTTTTTTTTTTTTTTTTTTTTTTTTTTTTTTTTTTTTTTTTTTTTTTTTTTTAATATATATATATATATATATATATATATATATATATATACATATATATATACATATATATATACATATATATATATATATATATATATATATTATATATATATTTTTTTTTTTTTTTTTTCTCTTTTTTTTTCTTTTTATTTTTTCGGCCGAGTCATTCATCAGACTCACCGCCTCCAGACGGGTGTCCAGGGCACGGTGTTTTGCTCTGCTTGTGGACTGCATGGCCGATTTCGGGTCCGTTCCGATGGCTTGGGCAAGCCCTGTCGGCCCATCTCGCGCCAAGGGCGCAAGAATCTGGCGGCCCTTCTCCGGGGCCAACTTCCACAGCAGAGAGCAAGGCAGTGCAAAACGGTTCTCTACCAAGCGATCTCTTTAGACAGGCCAGATTTTTCCCCCCTCGTCGGGGCTCATGATTTCCGTTTCATTGACTGTGTCATGGTTGGGTCAGGCGCGGGGGTTGGTGTCCCGACCGCGGCCTCTCCCTTCTCTGTCTCGTCTGCCTGCTAGTCTGTGTCCCTTTCGTTGGAGCGGAAGGCGGCGGGTCCTTGATCGCTCTGCCCAGTTGGTCTTTGGCCGTATCTGGAGGGCCCGCCATGGGGGCACTGGCTCAGGGGACGAGTCGGGCCCACACCAGGGGCAGACCAGGGGCCGTCCAGGCGTCCGCCCACCTGGGTTAGGTACACCTGGGGTTGCCTGGCTGTCGTCATGGCGTCGCCCTATCTTTGTTTCAAGTAGTTTACGGCCCGAGGGGCTCTCCCCAGGGCAGGTTTCAATCTGCATGCCCCACATCTGGGGCGAGGCATGCCGTCGTCCTGGCGCTAGTTGCACCTGGGGCGGCAGGTCTCGTCGTCCTTGTGTGGGCGGTCGATCTTATTTCTCTTGGTGGCAACGCTGTCACCTTGCGTTTCTCGTGCTTGGCGGTGCAGGTTACGCAGCCTGCCCTAGTGCCCGAGCCTTGGGGTACCGCCTTTTTCTTGTGGCGTGCGTGGTGTGTGCGCGCGCGCGCTGCCCTGCGCGAGTGTCAGGCGCCCCGCCTCAGGGGGAAGGAGCGCCGCACATATCTTTTCTCCCTCCTCTCGGCGGCGCCGGTTATGCAGCCAGCCCTAGTGCCCGAGCCTTGGGGCACCGTCGAGTTGGAGGGATCTCAGGGCACTTGAGCACGGGGGTGGACGCAGGCCCGCCCCGACTGCGGCTCAACCTTCGGCAGCGCGCTGGCTGCCCGTCGCCCCCGCTCGATTGCGCAGTCTCGAGCGGGGAGACGCCTCACCCCCTGCACTCTCGCGCTCTCCAGTAAAAAAATCTTGGGGGCCTCTTGATGGCCTCTGGGGGCGCCCTAGGAGCCTCTCAGGCCGGAGACCTTGAAATGTCGCGCTCTTCGGGCCCTCTTGGGGCTCTCTTGGGGCGCTCTCGAGGCCCTCTTGACTTATCTGGGAGCCTCCTGGGCCGTCTCTGGGCTTTCTTGGGAGCCTCTCCGGCCGTCTTGGAGCGATCTGATGGGCTTCTGACGCGGTTTGGGAACGTGGGGAGGCGGAACGTGGGAGAGCGCGAACATGCTTCAAAAACAAGTGGAAAGTTGATGATTTTCGGCTTCTGGGGCCCTTTGGAGGGGCCTCTGGAAGCGCTCTTGGGGCGTTTGGGCGGCGTCGTCGGCCGTCCTGAGGCCATCTTCGGCGTGTCCGGGGCATATGGGGGCTGCCTTTGGGCGTCCTGGGAACCCGGATTTCATGTTCCCGGAAAGGTTTCCGGGAACGTGATCTCGAACGAGACCCTCTTGGGCCTTCTGGCGGCCGTCTTGGGGGCCTCCTGGGCTGGCTTTGGGGCCTCTTGGGCCGTCTTGGGAGGTTCCGTGAGCCCCGCGGGGCGATCTTTTGGGGCCGTCTTGGGCCGTCATGAGTCTCTCTTGGGCTGTCGTGTGTGTGTGTGTGTGTATGTATGTGTGTGGTGTGTGTGTGTGTGTGTGTGTGTTTTTATATATATATATATATATATATATATATATATATATTTGTGTTTTCTTCTTCTTCTTCTTTCCTCTCTTCTTCTTCTGGGGGGTATATATATATATATATGTTTGAAAAAAAACCAATTTAAAAAATTGAATGAACACCGAGCGAATGAAACTGATGAGGGGCTTTCGGCAGCAAGTTGGTGGAGGCCCGGACACGGCGACAATGGCTCCCGCTGGATATTTTTTCACGGGTATTCCGAGACCCCCGTGTGATTCAGAGAATTTTTTTTCAACCAGGACCAAGCCAAACTCGACTCCCACACGCGTGCGCAACAGGGCCGCCGCAAGGCGGTGGCGCAGCAAGATGCTTGCGCGCCGGCAAACGCATCGGGCCTGCCGCGCGCCAGCGGGATGCTTGCACTCCAGGCAAACGCATCGGGGCCGCCGGCCTGCACTGGGATGCTTGCACTCCAGGCAACCGCATCGGGCCCACCGCAGATCTACTCGCCCGCTCTGCATCGCCACAGATACAGTAGGGCACGCGCGTTTTTCGCCGCGCTCGCCTGCACGCCACCGCCGCTGACCGCGCGGAACAGCGCGTAGACGCCAGAACTCATGCGGATGATGTCTTGAACAGTCATGCCGCTTTCGAGCAGGAAGAAAGATTCGCGAGAGCGAAGCCGCGGTGCCAAGCCAAGGCCGCGCGGCCAGGGAGACAATGCCCATTGCCAGAAGACCGGGCACTGGCAGTAGTGTTCCAAACTGTCCTGCGCCCCTGTGCACCCGAGCGCGCAGGTCCCGCACCATGCGCTGCCCGCCATATGGCGCATCCTGCGCACGGTCGCCCACCCATTCCACCATGTTCGGAATGCTGCTGACAGCGCCCGCGGCGGGCAGTGGAGTGCCACGGTCTGTAGCCGCCCTTGCGCGCGGCGCGCCACTGTGCCAGGAGGCCCGGATAGGTTCCACTTAGCGAGCTTCACTCTTAGACGGTGCTCAGAATTGTAGGGGCGCTCCGCCGCGTGCCGGATGAACTGCTGAGCGATAGCCTGGAACGAAGATCCCGGTTTCTCCTCCAGAGCAAGCCGAATCCGTCGCCGCGACACCCCCCACCCTGAAACGCGAGATTCTGCTTGAGACAGCACAGAGAAAGAACACTTATGATGCCAGGATCCGAAAGGGAGGCCTCCGCACTCCGCCTGCAGCTCTGCTAGTTCTGCGGCACGTTCGCCGCAATCTGGTGCGACTTGTTCGACAACCCCTAATTTGGCCGCCAGAGCAACCCAAGCGGGGTCCACGAACTGCAACGGAAAGGAATAACAGTCAGCAAGATGAATCAAATCTTCGGGAGTGACCCAAGAGCCCGGACAGGGAGCAAGCGCGCGTAGAACCCTTCGGAAGCTGTCGGCTGCGTCGTTGCTGTCGGCTTCCAGCTGCATGGCGAAGGAGAGCACGGGGAGGACGTAAATATAAAACGCCCGGATGTTGTAGAACATGCCCAGGTGGAGAGACGCCCCACTGGCATGCCCCAGCGCAGAACTCCCCCAACGACTTGCCCCATGACTTTCCCTCCGCTCCTGGACCCAGCACGAAGCCCACATATTTTCCGAACGATGAGATGCAGACTGGACGCCAGGAGGGGCACGCCTCTGAGATGAGAGCTCGAAGTCTGTCTGTGCAAGCAACCTTCCACAACGGGATGACAACAGTCTTTTGGATGTTGAGCTCCAGACCAGATATGCGGGCGTATTCACAGAACGCCTTACCAATGCAGGGGAAGGATATTGTGTAGTCTCTTAGCACCACAGCAGTGTCGTCTGCAAACGCCCGGACAACCTCCCCGCAGCCCAAATGCGAGGATATGCGGCGGAGCATGATATCGGCGCAAAGCACAAACAGCAGAGGCGATAATGGGCAGCCCTGGCGCACACCACTGCGCACATTGACGCTTTCGAAAACGGAGCTGACGATTTTGATCCAGCGCTTGTTGTCCTTGTAGAACATGCGCAGTGCGTCGATGTGGCGGGGCGGCAACCCGATGGCCTCCAGGGCGCCCCGCATGTAGTCGTGCGACAGGCTGGGGAACGCCGCCTTGAAGTCAAACGGCACGATGGCACCCTTCCGCGATGAAATGCTGATCTTCTGCGCCGCGAAATCAACATCGACCGCGTTGCGTAGCATCTGTCTGCCTACCAAAAAGCCCCGCTGAGGAGCAGAAACCCACTCAGCAACTTTCCTCTCCAAAGCCACGCGGAAAATCGAAGCTATGATTCTGTTAGAAGCGTCGACTATGGACAACGGGCGGGCCCCGGCAGGGTCGTGTACTTCGGTTCCTCCGTGCAGGTCGCCGCGGCCCTTTGGAAGACAGATAAGAAATGCCCAATTGAAGTCGCACGGCGGCGCGATGGCACCCTGGATCATGCCTGTTACAATTTCGAAGAATACGGGCGCAAGAATATCTGCAAACCTCCCGTAGACCCCGACATGGATACCATCTGGTCCAGAAGAAGACTTGGGTAAGAGCTCACAAATATTCCGCACGTCCTCCAGAGTAGGGCAGAGGTCAGACGAATCCACTCGCAGTTTGTCCGATTGCTGGTCGAGCCACTGGCGTCGCAGAGAACTACCCGTGGGCTTGTGATCAAAAGCCGTTTGCCAATATGGCGTCAGTGCAGTAGCTAGCGCCTCCGGCTCTGAAGCAATACCTCCACTGCGATCCCTGACGGCCGAGAGACCGCAAGTAGCGCCAGGGAGCAAACGGCGTAGAGAGGAAAGAATGCCGTCCTTCCTCTGCTTATACACAATCTCCGGCATGCCTTTGCGCACCCGCTTCAGCTCGTCCACGCGCTCTTTAACGGAGACGTGCCCAAGTTCCTGCACGTGGGCCAGCAAATCCCTGTAGGCCCGCGTCGCCGCAGCCCCTTGGTCCACCGGCGCGCCCCGAAGACGGGGGCATGAGGCTTGAATGCGCCCAGCGTTCTTCCAGTCAATGCGGTCCAGCGCCCTCAAGAAACCCACGCATGCCGAAAGCTTCTCTTCTGTTGTGGACGCGGGTGCGTTCCTGATTCTCGCTTTCGTGAACTTAACAGCCTTTTTCACAGCAAGCTTGAACAGCCCCAGCTTTGCGAAATCATCTCTCGAACAACGTGCCACCTCGAACTGGTGCTCCGCGAACACCTCTTGGCAGAAGAGCTCGCGTGAAGAGATCCAGGCAGGCGCTCTGAATACGGGGGCCCCCACCCTGCGGCTCAATGCAAAGGACACGGGTCGATGCGAAGATAGATGCGGCCAGCGATCCAAGACGTGGCAATTCACCTTCCTAGTGTGATTCAGAGCGGGATGCAAGGATGAATAAACACGATCAATACGAGAAAAAACAATGCCGGTTTCACATGTGAAGTCGTCCTGGGCCCATTCCGCAGTGCCTGCTCGAGTCAACTGCTCATCCCAAGCCTTCTCCGCGGGGCCATCGCCTCCAAGAGACTGCGCGCCATCAGCTTTCAGAAAACGGTCAGACTCCACGTGCACGCAATTGAAACCTCCCGCAATAACAGTGTGAGCATGGTGGCCAATTGCATTCCCAAGCGCGCGGATGTGCCGAACTTGGGCGCTGTGGTCCGCCGGATCCAGATAGACGCCATAGATATGTAACTCCCCAGTAGGGCCGCGCAGCTTCAAGCATATAATCCCGCCCTCCACCACCACCTCCTCAGAACAAGTAGCGAAAGCTTGTAAAAACAATTTCCGGATCAGGATGCCGACGCCCCCGCAATATTGATTGATGCGTGTTGAATGGTACCGATATCCTGGCAGAGCCGTATCGTTCAATGTACTGTTGCGCTCGGGAGTCTCCCGGGTTTCCGTAAGAATAATAAAATCGTGAGTTGAAGCAATTTCTAAAGCTCTCTTGCGAGTATCCCCACGGCCGTGCGCGAACAGAGACTGGCAATTCCAAGTCGCTCCGCGCAGGGGCCCGGCGACAGGAGACGATAAACGTGCCGTAGTACTGGGGTCGCCAGCAGGAGGGCGCGGCCGAGGGGGGCAATTCAGAAAGACAGGGGAAGTGGAAGAGGTGCCTTGATGACGCCGATCGTCATGAGGTACTGGCCTGGTGTCAGATCCAAGAAGTACACGGAACAACAGGCCCTACTCCTGCATGCCCATTTCCTTCCTCCATTCCTTTAAGATGTCCACGCCAGTGAAGCCCAGCTTGAGATCCGTGATGCCGTCCACTGCCACCTTGAACTCCTCCCGGTGCCGATCCCACCCCCCCACCCTGACCTTGTCCACCCAGACAATGCCCCCCCCCATATGAACGGTCAACTCGCTAAGCCACTCCAGGAAGAGCTGCCGGATGCGCCTTCAACACCTTCACCATTTTAGCCGCCGACTTCTCCTTCAAGCGGGTTGCCTCATCCTTGTCGTCGTTCGCCCACATCCTCCGGCCATTGACCGTGACCTCGCCCTTGTTCTTCAAGTTCGTCAAGAAGTCCTTCTTGCCCTGGGCGTCCTTGAACCTGATGAAACCTATGCTGCTCCGGCGGCCCCGGACAAAGATCTCTTCTGAGTCCTCCACGTTGCCGTCCGAGTCCCCGTGCCCTGCTTTGATACCGTCCGTGATCTCTGTCCCCAGCGAGTCCCGTTCGAATCCGCCGACCACCACGGTGCGCTCAAGTGCCTCCTCTGACTTCTTAGCCGTCGTCCTCTGCGCCCCGCTGCTGGCTCCTGGTGCGGGGCCCCCAGTCTTGCGCAAGACGTTTGCCGCCAACTCTGGGGGCCCCATCCTTCTTAACCATCTCCTCCAACCCCGACGAGATCATCTCCTTCATCCCCTCCTCCTTCATCTTCTCCTTAAGCATGTCCTGCATCATGTCGCTCATAGAGTCCTGTGTGACCATATCTTCGATGTCCAGCTTCACGTTCCCAAGCTCCGCCTCCAAATTAATAACTTTGTCATCGAATTCCGCGGTCTTCGCCTTGGCTTCATCGATCTTGTCGTTCATGTCATCCATCTTCGTCGGGAGTCTGTCGAGCTTCGCGTTCTGCATCGTCGCGCACCTGGTGAACCACTGCGGAGCCTGTTCCGTCACCTCGCCCATCTTCGAATCCTCGTCGCCCGTCGCGTCCCGAGGAGCCTGCTGTAGTTTGGCCCTACGTCGCTCGGGCGTTGAGCTGGATTTTTCACCCGCACGAGCCCCCTTTTTCTTACCATCCTTGTTCTCGTCCATGACTTTAGCAAGCGAGTGCAGCGAGCCCCGGACTAGAGCCCCAAACTTGAGCCAAAATGGCTTGAGCCAAAATCGCTACGGCTTGAGCCAAAATGGCTTGAGCCAAAATGGCTTGTGTCATTCAGAGAGTAATACTGCCTGATGCGGCCACTGCAGCGCAATGATAATCACGCGAATGGAAGGCTCATACAAGCGAGCAAACCTCGCTGCATGGACCTTGGCTCACTCCTGTCCGCCATATTTCCGCGCTGCGATGCTCGACATGCAGCTGCCGATCTGCTGACTGAGCATTTCAGAAGCGTCGTTTCCAATATTTTCTGACTTTGGTAGTGACACCCACCCGGGCACCGCCAACACCCACCTCTGCTAAAGCACGCAATTCGGGTTCAACAGGGCTGCAGCGCATGAGAAGCTGCTCTTCGCAGTAACAAGGACATCGGCCCTGGCAAAATGCGCAAGCGTTTCAGTTGCTTCTGTGTCCAGGTTTACAGTGGCACCCAACTTGCTGTACTGGTCGAACTCGTCGGTGTTGTTGCTGCGCCGACGCTGCTCGCTGAAGATGTGGAACTTCGCGTAGGGCACCTTGCTCCGCATGATTTTTATCAGCCAAACGTAATACTCGTGGCTCGTACCCCCTCCCAGGGACCCAATCATCCACGTCTCCCCGGCGCACATGAACGGCGACGTTTTCAGGTCGCGGGGTTGGAGACGCACCAGGGGCATCTGCATGATAAGTGTGTTGCTGGCCCTCAATGCTGCCAATAGAGTCGAAGAAATCTGGATGCCGTGATTCGCCCCCTTGATGGCCTCACGGCTCTCTACATAAACGTGGGCCTCGTTTGCAATTGCGCCCTTCTCGAGCTGCTGACTTAGAGCTTGGACAGTCGGGAATACCTGCGTATCTTGCGGCATAGCGTCAACGTATAGGTCACGCGCAAAAAACGCCTGCAATCCCGCAGAGGTATTCACGTTGTGCGACGTTGGCGCCCCTTCCCCCAGTGAGACCAACCCCCCGGAGCCAACGTTCATCTTCTCAGCGTACTTCAGAGCACCGAGAACGTTCAGGATCCTGGAACCTAGCCCGTCGGTGGCATCATGGACATAAAGCTTTCGGGCACCTCTAAAACCAAGACGGCTGGGACGGGCAACCATCCTCGAGCCCTCCGGAAAGAGGGCCTTCACCTCGTCGGGAGTCACGCGCACCTCGAACTCGTTGTCCTCGGGCTCCTCCTGATCTTCAAAAGGCGCGGCCTCTGGATAGAAGGCCTGCCGCAGGGGCGACTGGGAGGGCGGCGCGCGAAGAGAATACACTGGAGTCGCCTGTAGCACGGCACCAACGATCAGCGCAGGAAGCGCAGCCGCGCGCATGACGGAGATGACGCGAAGCGAAGATGCTGATGCACAGGTGCGGTGAGATTCGAGATTTTTTCTCCCCCAAGGGGCAGGGCCAAGGTTGCCTGTTTATCTGGCTGAGGCAGCTCCAGCGGCCGCCTCCTCTCTCCCGAACACGTTCCAGGAGGGCCTTCATGCGAGGGGTCTGTGGGGGACTGTCAAGCCTCGCACTCAACATACCTACCTCTTGAGGAGGGGGTGAGTTAACAGCATACTGCATGCACCCCACTCCTCGCCTCGATGACTGGGTCACTCGTGCGGAAGTTTCGCGCGAGTGAGGATGGGGGCCTGAATAAATTCGCTTCAGTGCAGTGGTCGCCCCAGCAATCTTGCGCCGCTGGCATTCGCGACCTAACAAAACAAACATCGCCTTGTGGTGTGCGCACCACATGTCGTGCAAAAATACAGGGCGGCTTCGCTCGATCTGTCATGCATGTCAGATCTAGTGACAATAGTGTGGGCTAAAGTGTGGCCCATGTCGAAACTGAAAACGCATTTCCATGTTTTGCTCGGCCCTGGACAGCCAAGCAAAGGTCTGTTCTCAGCACCTTTACCGAGCAAGAAACATCTTATGCACCTGGCTCTACCATCTTCATGCTTTTCCCAACAATGCCACCCCCAAGACTTGAGGAACCTTGCCCGCGGTCCTGGGGGGGGGGGGGGGGTCTAATTTTTCCATCGGAAACACACAGAGAACGTCGGCCAACACTCGGGCCGCAAAAGCTAACGCATCCAAGGAAATATTAAGCACCTCCGAGAACTGGGGAGAAGGCGAAGGGTGGAGGGAGAGGGAAAGCTTGGCGAGGGCGTCTGCGTTCTAATTCCCAACCGCAATTCTTCTCTCTCCCTCAGGGAGGGAGTCGATGGTACTTCTCGCACGATGGGCAGGCGTGTGACGAACTTCGGGCACATGATCCCGTTCCTCGTGAAGCAGGGCTCCTCTCCTCATTCCTGCATAACGATGCCGCCTATCCACTTGATGCGAAGTGTCGGTCATGCATAACACTACAGTCATACAGTGGCTGTATCTTACGCCAGAGTAAGGAACAAAGAACGGGATCGGCGACATTGCCTGGTGCTCCGCCGCCTGCGGTGTCTGGGGCAAGACGTCCCAGACAGTTCCTATGGCATAGGCAACAATATCCTCTTCAGGGCCTAAAAAGATCCAAGCGTAGGCGGCCCTAGAAAGTTCTGGGATTGTGTGCCGTGCACACGATCCACCCATACAAACATCGCATCCCCTTAAATCGATACCCCCAGGGCACTTCCTCCTTCTGTTGGTTGAAGAGGCGAGGTCTGGGGTCAGTGTGTGTGTGTGTGTGTGTGTGTGTGTGTGTGTGGTGGGGGGGGGGGGGGGGGGGGAGGGGGAGGTAGCTGGCTCCAGGGTGTTCCATCTTAAGCTCATCCCAGAAACTCCTGCATTCACTTCCGGCTGCCTCTTGGAGCCATCCTGCATTACCTCCCGCAACTTCAAGGCGCACAACAGCTACCTCAGGGTGCTGACAGTGCCCGGCTCTGTGCCTGACCGAGTCAGGTTGTCCGCAAAGTGGACAGCGTCCGTCGCTGGCGTATCCTGATGCTCGTGCTCGCGCGCGGGTCCATGCGCCTCCGCAGAAACAAGAAATGGCCATGCATTTTTCCTGCTGGGAGAGCTTTCGGGACCCAGGGCCCAAGAGCTTTTGGAGCGGTTCAACAGCAACGCGGGCCCCAGTGGAATGCGGGGAAAGCGCGGCCAGCTTACGCTCAGGACCTCGTTGGGTGGCTAACATCAGTAAGCGGGCAACCATGGGCGGGGGCGCGTGGGCCAAATGGATTTCTCTGCCATAGTCGTCTTCCCACGTGAGAGCAGATGTGGCGCACCATCCAACCCTGAATAACGACAGGTGCATGCGTTGAATCGGCCCGCGGGAACTCCTCCAACAAACCTGGCTATTAAACGGCACCGCGCACCACATCTGACAAATCTGCTTGACGTTATAGTGCGACGTAACGGGGTCCGTGACCGCAAGCCACGCAATGTGCGCCCAGTGCAGGGCAGGTGCAACACCCGCCCTCCAGACAGGGTCTCCTCCGAAACACAGCTTAGCAGTGAGCGAGCACCCTCGATGCCGAGGGACGCGATGCGACAGCATGACACGGCGCGCTCGTTGCAATTCATTGTCGCTGACGCCAACATTCGCCGATCCGAACGTGGCCGCGGGCTGGGGGCCCGCCACATATATCTTGCCGATGCGTCCCTTCTGCCTGGGTAAACTACGCCGATACCTCTGTAAAACCTTGTGCCTTTTATACATACACCTTAACCTGACCTCACGTTTGTGGAGAGCGTTCTTGGTCGCGCGTCCCTGCCCTGGGGCCAGATCCGTGCCAGGGCTGACAGTGCTATTAGTGACGGTGCCCGCCATCTGACCTAACAACCTTCCCAGTTTCTTGGCGATGCCCAAGGAAATGCCGAAGGTGGTGAGTTTGTCACCTTGTAAGCCCACTTTAAGTTCATCACGAAACACCACAAACATGCCTGCACAGGCCTGAACCATTTTCTCGAGCGCCTCGGCCTCCGTGCTGCCCTCAGTCGCACGGGCATCGTCGTCAACGTACGACGACAGGGCGACCTGCGGGTGGCTGTTGCAAAAACGATCGAAGGCGCCAATGCTGTAGACCCGCGCGAACAGGTCGTTGAAAATGTCCCCCGCTGGGAGGCCACTCGAGGCAAAGTAGGGGTTCGCATTGTACATGCGCCCGAGCCTGAGGATACGGGGGCCCCTCCAAAAGTTGCGCGTGGTCTTAGCAATAACCTTATTGAAGCCATACTCAATCGCAATTTTGTTAAGCAGCTCCAAATCAAAACTGTCGTAATACTTCGTCCCGCCCCAAGTAACCCCCGGAGTGATCATGCCCCTAGCCTCGGCCGCTTCGGCCTGCGCCGCCTGGCGCCACACGGCGTCCTCAGCGCTGCGCCCTGGCCCGAAGGCCCAGGACCGGCGGGGGGAGTTGGAGTTAAACTCGAGCAGGTGGGGTCTTCTCACTATCTCCCAGACTCGGACGGGGCCCGCGCATAACAGAATCGGTCAAACTCCCCCTTTGGGCTTCTCGAGGAGGGGGAACAACGTCCAGAACAGCTGTTTAGGGAAAAGACCGAGGGGCTCCACGGCCTGGAAGAGGGCTCCGAGCGTGTCCAGGGCCGAGTCAGAGACCAAAGGCAGCTGGCGAGGATGCAGCCCGTCCAAGGACTGCGACGTCATTCTGGAAAACGAGTTACTGGCAGCACGAATCTCAGCCGCCGTGGCCTGAGGAAGATGGTCCCTGTCCAGGACTTCGACTCGGGCGGGGGAGGTGCTGGCACGCCAGAACGTGGCCAACGTCCTACTTTCCGCATCGAGGACATTTTGCGGATTACTCGTAAAATGTCCAGCAGTGGTCTGAACGACCGTGGTTTTCCACGTCTCCTTCAACTGAGTTAACCTATGCATAGCCCTGGCCCCTCCCGATAACGCTTTCTCCTGCCATTCGTCCCATGACTCCTTTTTGTTCCTGTTCAGGGTGGCTCGGGCAAGCTCCAGGTCATCGTTCCAGGAGTCCATGAACTCCTGGGCGCCCTGGGGCCACTC